TCATCTTCCCACTTCTTCGTCTGAAGTAAAGCCCAAGGTGTCAGCCTGCTTTCCTGACAAGTCCGGTTCTGCTTCCTTTTTGCCTTGTTTTCATGTTTCCAAACCTCTAACGGTGGCAGATGTATTAAGGGCTTTTTGGAGCACGTTTGTCCCTGTCCGGGTCTTACAGTAAAGTGTTTGCCAAGTGCAATATTTTAAGCTTTCCAGTATCTTTGGCTTTTCTGTGTTTTTGATTTTTATTTTTTTTAATTGCAAAGCTTCAAAACAAATTTTTCTTAGTAGGATGGGGATAGCTTTGGTGCATTGAGGAGAAAGATTATTTTCTGGCTTTTTTTAGTTCCCATGCCCAAAGCTGCCAAAGCAAACCAGAAGCCACATGTATTTGAGTGATATAAATATATCAGTACCAAAGAGGTAGACAGTTTTTTGCAGGACTGTCAGAATTCATTTGTAAATACTGCATAGCCTGGCCTAGAACTGAGTAATAGTTTCAACAAATGACCCAATTTCTGTTGGTGACTCAAGACCTTTAAGTATTAGAAATGAGCCTACAAGAATGTGTAATATTACAAAATACAAGATACTGCATGTGCAGATTAATAACTATTTGTAGTGTCAACCCAGGAACCATCCTGCAGGTAATAGAAAAATACCTGGATTTATTAGTCAAGGATGAAAGGAAGCTGCCAGTTTAATGTGGTTGTGTAAAAACTGAGTGTGACATTGTTTTGTGCACAGCCAAGCTTCTGGGTGACTGGTGAGACATTACTGTACCCAGTTCTGGTAAATCATGTCCAGGAAAGAGGAGTTTGTACAGAAGTATTTCCGGGAGGGTTACTGGAGATGAACAAAGCTTATCTACAGGAGTGCACTGGGAATGTTTGTTTGATTAACCTAGGAAAAGCAAATGCAGGGGAAGGTTATGAGTAAACCAGTAAGGCAGGGTGGAGTCAAGCTCAAGCAAGTAGGCATTTAACCTAATGAACAACACTGATGGAAGAGTACAGATCTAAACTGATTATAACCTAGACAGAAAACTAAGCCCTGTCTCAGTGCAGTGAGGGCTTTGTCTTCCACAAAGAACAGTGAAAATGGACTTATCTAACAGGCTTTAAAATGTGTTGTGCATCAGAATAGGAAGATTATATGTAATTATACAAAACAGATTTAAGTGATCAATGTTGGAGGAAGAGTAACCTTCTGATGTTCAGCAGAAAAAAAGCTGTTCTCAAGAAGAAAAGCTGTCAGCTGCTGGTTCATGATGAGGAGGGTGGGAAGGAGACAGTTCAGAAGGAGGTAACAGGAATGCTCCCGCTAAGGAGATTTACACCAGGTGTTCAGTCTCTTAGATTTGATGGGCAGCAAAATGTTATTTTACTTAATAGTGTATGCAGGGACCTAAGAAATGTAGAAACTGGAAATACAGAGGAATGGTGTATATAGAGTATGTAAAAGAAAATGTAGGATGGTCAGCTGGAGGAGGTGCAGGATGCCATGAATGGATGACTGTTCCCAAGGATCTTGCCATTGCTGTTGTGAGACTGAACATCTTGTCATTGCCCTGTTTTTCTGAACTTGGTTTTTGATTGTAATTCATCTGACAGGAATAACAACAACATTGGAAATTCATCTAATAAGTGCTGGAGGCTCAGCCCTAAAAACAAATACAGGATCAGTTACATGGAGTTGTTTATAGTGAGGTAGAGAATATGGGGTCACTTAGGTGCTGACAGTCTTCAGTAAAAATATACTTCTGTTATTTTTTACTGAAGAATGGGAGAGAAAAAATAAGGTAGTAAATTGCAGGGAAAGAGAAACTTCCTGCCGTAAAAGACTGAATTGGGCAAGGCTTGCCAGGCAAATATCTCAGCCCACAGCACGCTTTCCCAGCATGACTTCCTTTGTAGCTTCACACAGGAGACTCAAGAGTCATCTAGTCCCCCTGTGCTGTACAGCTGGGCTTTTGCCAGCTTCCTAGGATTTAGAAACTTCAGTTTTATTGCTCGCTTCTCAAGTCTTTTTATGTCTTGTATCGAGCTGTCTTATTTCAAGCTTCAGTGGCCTGTGGCTTACTGCACTGTTTTATGGTAGCCTGGAGTTTCACAATAAATACTGAATTTTTATCTTGCGCAGCAACCAACACACTGGTTTGTAATTTTTTTACTAGCTGTTGTAGCCTCTGACTATGCATTAGAGTATGTATTTACAAGAGGAAAATGGCCTTTTATATCTGTTTCCTATCCAGACTCAGGGTTTGACAGATCTTCACTACTAACAGTATCAGTCTCAAGATGTAAAGTGTAGCATATGAAGGATGGGGGAATCCGTAGTTCCCTCCCTCTGAGAGCAGATGATGGTCTTCTGACCCTGAAGCTGTCTGTGTTACAAACTGTTCTGGTGCACATTTGTTTTACATGGTCAAGTCTTTTGAGTGTGTATTAATAGAAGAACATGATTTCCTGAACTTGCTTACCATCATGTCTTTATATTCAGGCTGTCAATACAGTTCCATCATCACATGGATTTCTCCTAACTGTGTGTCATTGTAGTATTTAGGAAGTGTTAAGGATTAAGGTTTTGCTTAGTCTTTAATATTTCTTGCTAGATTAATTATCTTGTTAGTACTGTCCAAAAAGTTGTCATCAAATTGAGGATGCAACTAGCTGTAGTGAAATGTGGCTGACTTAGCTTACCCTATCCTTAGCATTTTCAGGTGATCACACTGGTTAATTTCTCTTTCATACTGGCAGTAAAGTTGTCCCATTCTTTGACCAAGTGCAAAATTCTAAATGTCTCACACCTTTGTTCATGCTTTATAGGTGAGAGGAGTGTCTGAGTGTACCTGTAAAGGCAAAGGAGGCTGGATCTCCTCCGTCATGTCTGGCAGCAGTCAGGTGGCAACTCAGATTGCCCAAGAGCCCATCAGTGACAGCCAGCACCATCTCCAGCCTGCTGGAGGGACTAGGATTTGGGATTTAACTTGCCATGCTGGAAGAGCATGTTACAGAAGCAAGGTTTCATTAACTTCTCTGCTTGCAGGCCAGTTTGGGTTTGCTGGAGTTTTTTGTTTTGTTCTTAGGCAAATCTAAGCCCTCATTTTGGAAGGCATGGTGAGCGTGCTTTCGTTTTGTAGTGGTGAAGGCTTGTGTGAGCTCAGAGAGACATGACTTCTTTGTCTGTGTCTAGCCTCACAGGGGTGCCAAGAGGGATATCAGCTGTCCACTGTAAGGCAGAGTCAAAATCTGCAGTGATGAATTACAGTCATCATTACGTGTCTGCATTGGCTGGGGCTAACCATTCCCTACATGCAGGGATTCATTCCCGTGTGCCATCCTGGGCTCAGCACCCTAAACTGGTAAATTAGGCTGACCTGTCCAGTGTAGCAAGAGTGATGGTCATCAGTATTGCTATGCTTCACTTCTGGTGCTTGGTTTTGGGAAGACAATACACAAAGCTGAGGTAATTCTCTAGGAAATTCTTGGCAAACTGAGACTTGAGCACTTGGATTCCCAGCAGCCAAGCATGCTGAGTGGGGAGATTTTAAACCAGATGATCGGAAATGTTCTTTGGACAACTCTTTTCTGCTCAGTTTTAATTGCTTATGGCCTTCACTTAAGCATATTTAGAGTCAGAGAGCCAAAATCTGAAGTGGTCTCTTGTACTTGCTGTGATCCATAGCGGGGGTGAAAGCAGACCCTGGAGGCTGGCTCTGTAAGCTCCCCAACTCTGCCCAACCCCACACTGCCTTTCTCCCTCTGACACCTGTGCTGGGCCATTTCAGCTCATTGCATTTGTAGAAAGTGAATCCAGACTATAAATACAAATTGTTTTATAATTCCTAGCTGCCAGGAATTATGCCTCAGCCATGAAAGAGGAAGAGAGTTAACACCATCCTCAACTTAAAACAGTTTAACCCTCACCTATTGATTCTCAAGAGATTGTTTTTTGTTGTGAGGGAAAACAAATGAGATTACATTCCAGCAGAACGAGGTTCACTTAATGTGTTTTACCTTACAACTAGTGAGGACAACCCATGTGAACACAATTACTGTGGCTCCACCAATAGATACTCATTAAAGTGCTGTACCTGCCACTTTCAATTGTATGATCCAATCCCTAGGGTTTGGGTTCTTCTGGTTTTTTACAGTTTGAAAAAGATGGAGACAATAGGAGTAGACATACCAAAGTCTTCTCTCAGTCATAATTTAATTTTCTAACCAGAAAGGAGCATTAAGGTGGCTTCAGTCCCATGGGTATATTTCAAAATTCGATAGGTCTGCAGATCCCCACAGCTTTCTCATTATTGATCTTTCCTAACATTGTAGGTTAACTGTTAAAGGAAGAGGATCACTTGTTGAGGTGTAGGAATGATGATTTTTTAACTATTTGATGCAGTCTGATGGCCATCCCTTTAATGTATTAAGGTCATTGTATTTAATTGAAGACGGTGGTTAAATTAAAAAAGAGTAATTGCTCTTGGCCCCTCTTTTTATTAATAGTGAAAATTTGATCAAACCATTCCCTAAAGTGCCAGGAAATCAAAGTGAAAATAGTATAAATTAGCTTTTGACCTGATTTTTACTGTTTTCAGTGGTTTTGGTGGACTTTTACTGATGTATTATGGCATTTCACAACAAGTTTTCCTTGCTTCCCATAAAGCAAATGAGAAACCTTGATGTTGCTATTAATTTTAATTAAAACTTCCACTGCATATTTAAGTTTTGTAAAAAATACTCATCACTAATAAGTTAAATAGCTGTTGTTCAGATGTAGGTTCAAAACAGGAGAAGTCAGTTTCAAGATATAAAAAACACAGCAAAATAAACTAAAAACAGGTAATCTATTATTCTATTTGACTTTTTCTTTCTTTCTCCTTATGATGTTTAAAAATAAATCAATTCAATCACCAGACTTAAGAGAAAGTTAAGATGATGATAATGTTTTTATTTAGATACAAAAGTTTTGCATTATCTGTCACAAGTCAGCCTTTTTATTTTTTTTCTGAGTCAGACTTAAAATAAGTAATTCTTTATAATAATCACTGTATAAGCATCAGGGACATGTATTTCATGAGCATTAGAGTTGTATGCATCAATAAATATTACAATAATATTTTCTTTTTATGCGGTTATTTTTAGCAAAATATTCAGAACTGAAATTGTAAGATGCCTTAATTGCTCTGAGTTATAGTGTAAATTAAAATAGTATTTCCAGTATGCTTTTCATAAAAAAGAACAAGGGGAAGCATTTAATCTTGATTTCACATAATCCAATCATAACTTAGATAAGTTCAATTTAGTACATGAACTAAAACCGAGTAGGCCGTTTTGGTGCATATCTGAAGGGATGGGTTTGTTCTGAATGTTTGGATCATCTGTTCTGGTGGAGCTGGTTGCTCTGCCAAGCATCCCAGTCACAGCAGGAAAGGCATTGGAAGGGCCCTTGAGGAGAGGCAGGTTTTAAGGGCATTCACGGAGGGATAGGTTTAAAAGGAGGCTGGTCACTGCCTGGGGGATGTGACAGCCCCTGGAAAAGAGCCAGCTGCCAGTTTGCCAGCAAGTGCTGACACTCTCTGTGCACAAGGAGTGTGCCCAGCTCAGGCATGGGCCCTTCCCTCCCTCCCTCCCTCTGTGAATGCACAGGTAGGAGCTAATTCAGGGGTGATCCAGGAGTGGAGAGGCAGCTCTCACCTGTACAGTAACTTGTCTCTTTCTAAATGAAGGTCTGGAGTTTCTGCTTGTAGGAGCTTGTGGCGCCCAACCTCTTAATTAGTGAAACAGGAAGTTTTAACTAAATGCTTCAGAATCATGTGGTTTGTATATGATCTTTATCAACATAGGAGTTACTGACTGCTGCCCTTCAGAGATAAACATTAAAGATCTGAAAATATTTGCCTCCCAACATTGACTGTCGGGTTTGCCTTTTGGTCTTTAGTTATTGTTGCTTCTTTTTGCTGCTTTGTGATAGATTGCTGCTTTTTTTTTTTTTTTAGCAGAAACCAGGAATCTCATGTTTTTGATCATGGTAGCTGATGCTTTAAGACAACTCAATATCATAAATATATGATAAAATTATTCTGAGGCTGAAGAAAGATTCATGCAAGGCAAAACTAAAAGGAGCTGAGTTTGTGAGGTGTACAGAGCTCTCATACTCTTCTTTAGGTCTTCAGTGCTGTACATGAATGCAACACTGTGACTATTGTTTTCAAGCAACCTTTCAGAAGTGTGTTATAGTGGGAGGCATATACAAGCAGGAGATCTGCTTTAAGAGCCACAGCTCATTTGCTTGAGGAAAATAATACAGAGAATTAGCTCCAGCCCCTCTTGGCATTTTTTCTTGGGCCTTCAGTGAGAGCTGACCTAACTGCAGGTAGATGCTTGCAAAATAATTTGGGAGCAACCCACAACAAACCAAACAAATCCATAATATTATATTTTTCCAGAATTATTTTGGGACTTTCGTATAGCTCTGGTCCCACTGCACAGAGATGAACTGTATCAGGATAGCTTTTCTGGGATAGATTCCAACAATATTTCCTTGTGAGTTTGGGATGAACATACTGGGCATATTAGATGACTGATGAAAATGCTAGAACTACTCCATGACAATCTTCTCAAGGTGGTTAGTGCCTGGTCATGCCTCCACTGGAAGAAAAAAATCATCATTTAGGTGAAAATATGTGTGCTGGTATGCATTAGGCTGATTTTTGAGAAAATGTATTTTTATCAGGTAATATGATGGTTTTCTTTACGCAGAGGGAGATATGAACAGCAAAATTAGTGGTCACTGTGGCCCTGTAATCTTCTCTTAAACCATACAAGTCAGCCACCACCTGTCTAGTTAAGGACTAGCTTTTCCTGAAATACTCATATAAGCAAAGTTTTAAAATTATTAAGAGTGTGCTGGAAAAATTGGTGTAGTATTTTAAAAAGTGATAATTCAATTTGCACATATTGTCTAAGTACCTGTGTGTGTGTGTGTTGTTAAGAAGACATAAAGGAGATTAAGAAACAAAACGACTTTGCTGCAGTGTTTTCCATGGACTTGAAAATCTTCAGCCAGTGTCTCAGCTACTATAAATTGGCATAAACTCCAATACCTTAAAGCTGCATTAGTTTATGTGACTCAAGGAGATGACCTCTAGGATTTGTGGGACCACTGTGTAAATACCAGAGCCTTCAGCCTGCCAGGGTCAAAATAAATAATGCCTTTGGAACAGTTCTGGCTCCACGCTTATATTTTACTCCTTGATTTAAGCAACAGTGTGTGAAGCAGAGCAGGGATAAGGGAGCCTTCAGCAGCTCTGCACCTTTCCCCAGCAAAACCACCACCAGGCTATTGCCATTTTCATCTTGCAGAGGGAAACTGATGAAGAGAGAAGCTGTCTCCTTACTGTGGCGCTAAAAAATGCACTTTCTTTTTGGTGGGCACAAGAGGCAGTGGCAGAGCTTTCCAGTACTAAGTAAGGGGCAAACCCTTCTGAAGAACATCTAACATGACAAGAAAATTTTGATCCTCCAAGCCCCTCACTTGACTGTGGAATGACACAGAAGGAGGTGGAGAGATGCTCTGGCAGTGCTGCAGCTCTGCCCTTGTGCCCACACAGATGCTTCCTTTGTGTCAGGAAAAAACAAATTAATGGTCCCCACCGACTCTACCTGTGCAATGTGCCCCTCTGCAGGGGTGGGTGGATGGGCAGTCAGGGATGGAGCTGGGCAGGTTAAATTGTTATGAATGTAATGCATGAAGAACAGGCTTTTAAAATAGTTTCCTTTTTTCCCTGAGATAGAAAAGGCAGGGAAGAAAAACGTTGGGAGCTGAGAACTGGCAAAAGGTGCCAATCCAAGCTTTATCCAGAGGAAAAAATGCAGCAGTCTGGGAGGTGCCAGGGATGCTTCTGGCAGGAGTAGCAGAGCACAGAGCCATTCTTCCCTGCAGCAGGTTTGCTGTACTAGCAGGTATAGCTGCAGGCTGCTATCATCATAAACCTCCAGCTATTTTCATTTCATCAAAACAAATGCAAAGTTTGCCTCTAAACAGATATAAAATGCTCTAAAAGAGTCTTGGGCTTTTTCTAGCATGGGGAAGATGCAGCGAGACAAGCCCTGTGTCCTGTGCCTGTGTGGGTAAAAGTGTGGAGAGAGACCAGGAAAGGTTGAGGAGCAGTTGTTGGGATGCTGGCTTGAAGCTGAGAGAACAGCTGGATGTGAGCCTGTGTCACTGGCATTAAATCAATGGGATGGCTGCAGGGTCGAGGGCCTAAGGCACACAAATCCAGCCAGGTCTCTCTCCTGAAGGAGAAGGAGCTTTGGCAGCCCCTTGGCTGAACAGGGACCATCAGTGGCCAAGGGACACTCAAGGGCAGAAACAGGCAGGTGTGTTGCAAGCTTTGTCTCACCTCAGCTGCCTCTGAGATCTGTAGGTGCCCTGTGGAGCTAATCAGCCTCCCAAACCCCCAGACTTCTTATTTTACTGATTTAAAAATAGCCTCAGGCTCCTTAAGGGGCTGCAGCTGAGGAGACTCCCTTGGAACCCAGCTGGCTGAAGGGGCCCTGTAAAACTCAGGTCCTCCACAGGGATGTTTTCCAAGTGTGGTAGAAAAAGACATTTTTACATTTCTGTCTTTGCATGTGCTCCAATTCCTCTGTGTTTTGACAGAAAGAAGCATGGCACAAGGGGATGCCAGTGCTGGCATACTGCAGAGGTCTGGCAGAAGGAATCCCAGCAAGGAGAGGCAAACAGGACTTACTGCAGAGGCCACAGACTTTCCTTCTTCATACTTACTAACTTCTCAGAGAGGGCCTGCTACTTCTGATGCCATAGGTTAGGGGACTTTGGGTTTTATTTATTTACAGTGATACCATTTTTCATGTGCAGAAACAGGATAGCTGGTGAGGCTGTTTGGATTCTGCCACAGGATGAATGAAGACACATTTCCCAGGCTGTGCCTCTGAATCCTTTCCTTTGGGTCTTCCCATTACCTTCAGCTCTACCAGAAGGCTGTAGGGTGCTCCTGTGGTAAATCTAGCAATCTGCTGGACAAAGCACTAGGTGCCTGAGAAGACCTTCTATGGCTTGTTGACAGCCAACCTAATTATCCTGGTGGTGATTGCCACAGATGGACACACACTTTTTGGATCCTGAAAGAAAAACATTGTTTAAAAAGATGTACTTCCATTTCTGTGAGATAGGGTACTTTTCACTGCTGAGCAGCTACCCACAGCTCCTGCAGAGCATGGGCAGTGTCCATAAATCCACACACTAGCTTCTCCTAATACCCTGCTCAAGTAACCCAGCCCAAGTCTATCCTTTCAGCTGTGCATCCAGCTCCAGTAGTAAGTGTTTAATCCCAGTGAAGCCCAACTGCTGCAGGTCTTGCTTCTGAAGGACACCACCACAAACTCAGGATGTTTCAATGGGCATCAGCCCCTGTCAGTGAGAGCTTCTGACCATGATGCTGCAACATGCATTTTTAGATAAAACTCACCTTGGACATGGTTGCATTGCTGAGCAAGCTAAATCCAAGTTCTACAAATGCCACATCTTATTAGAGCTATTTTCTTTATTGGTTTTATTGCAAATTGGCTTGAGTCTATAGACTCCTAGAGCATGAAGCCACATCCAGCTAAGTCTTAGAAGCTGAAAACTATAGGAGATGCAGCTGTTTCTCTCTGGAGCATTCATGAGGTAACAATAGTAACAATAAGGGGAAGACAAATAGAGCAGTTTCATTGTGATATTTTTTAGAAAGTAAGGATTCCATTGAATATAAAATGATCATTGATTTTAGGCACTTTGATGGACTAATGTTTGGTTTTAATGGAGCCATTCAATTAGAAGAGCAGAAAAAGCTGTGTCAAGAGGGAACAACCCTCCCTTTGTATAGAGAGGTGCTGCTGAGTAGAAGTGCTGGAGTCCTTTATTTAAATAGGAATAATTAGATTGTACAAGAAACTTGGATTTGAAAGCAGTTCCTCTGATACATTCCTCTTCAGGGGTAATTATCTGCTGCATTCACCAAAGCCCAAAGGCTGATCTCATATCACATTGGATCATCTGCATTATGGCTAAAATTAAAACAAAGGGAGAGGAAGCAAATAAGAAAGGGTGTAAAACTCCGAAATGCCAGGTCTAAAAGGAAGTTCTTCCACCAAGATGGAAGGTGGAATGCCTTTTAGAGTGAACATCAGATGTAGATGGAGGTGAAATGCAAATAAGAGAATAATTATGCTGCACTTGGTTTCCACCAGCTGGATTCTCATCACGTGATGTCCCCTCACTGCTTTGCACCTTCTGCTTTCCATGGAGCTTCCATCATACTCAAGGAGGGCTCATCATAACCTTTCCTGTGGACAGCATTCACTGGGAAAGACTGGAAGACTTCTCTGGCCAAATAATAGTAAGCAGAGGTTGCTTCTGCTGCTGAGGTGGAGATTCATTTGCAGTCAGCCTGCTCCATTTGTCTTCTTCCTGACAATAAAATGTTGGACAGAGCAGATGAGACATTGCCTGTGTGGAAATCAGATCCTCTCTAGGAAGGCTTACACCACTTTACTGTCCATGCAAAACAAATCTGTAATTAAATGGTGCTTTAAATGCTCAGACTGTTGTGGTTTCCTGCTTTAGTTACAAAAATGAGGTTAATTTGTCAATTCCACAGGAACTGACTCACAAAAGCTTCCATAACCTTGCAAGGAACTTCTCTGTATGGTCAAGAACAGCATGGCTCTTAATTTGGATCCAAGGGTCTCCTAAGGAAAGCCAGCAGAGTCAAGTGGATGAAGATAAAAGCCTCTGTGTACTAATTAGGATTAGCTAATGCTTCTCCTTAAGTAGCAAAAGGACATTTCACCCCTGAAGTTTCTCTTAACAGTAAAGGATTCACATTAATGTGCATGAGTAGTGGTGGGGAAAGGTGTTGGATTACTGTAGAGCAGATCACTTAAATCATCTCATCTTTCAGGCAGTGTGCTCAATCTGTGGGGGCAAGATAAATCTGTTCATTGCACCCGTTAGTCCTGCAGTGGTTCAAGGACCACAGTGTGCTCCCCGACCACATGATGCTGTAAAAGCCTACATCATCTCTAGAATCAAAGGAAGAAAAGGGGAACAAGATGCTTTGTAAAAACAACCACCCTCAGACAATAAAGGCACGTAAGCCAGCAGGTGGCATGGGGTTCCCATCGTGCATATATGCTTAGAAGAGAACCTTGGGTGAAAGCCGGAGCAAGAAGGAGCTGGAGGCAGGATTGTGAATGCACAGCATCCTGCTGAGTGCCCCAGGCTTGATGGAGGAGGGCTCACACTAGGCAGCTCTGTAGGCAGCAGGGCTGGAAAGGTTTCAGAAGAAGCAATTCTGCCTAGAAGTTCAATGTTGCTACCCTCTGGCAAAGCCTCAGTCACTCTCCATTTGCTTATACAAGAAACCTGGGGCAGAATTCAAAAGGCCTGAATTTTGTGTGGTAAAAGCATTTTTCTGTTCCGCCTGCAGACAGAAAAGAATGCTCAGGAAGAAACTATTGCCACAGTTCAGGCAATCCATACTGTGCTACATCTGGCAAATAGAATGGCTTCAAGTAAGAAAGTGCCAAGCTGGCTGACAAATGGATTTAATTTGGTTTCATTTGCTTTATAGGCTCTCTGTATAGAGTCATAGAATGGTTTGGGCTGGGAGGGACCTTTCAATGTTATCTAGTCCAACCCCTTACCATGGCCAGAGACATCTTCAACTCAACAGGTTGCTCAGAGCCCAACTGGCCTTGAATGTTTCCAGGGATAGGGCATCCACAACTTCTCTGGGAAACCTCTTTGAGTTTTTCATCATCCTCGTTGTAGAAACCAAATCCTGTCTTGTATCTAACCTAAATCTACCCACTTTTAATTTAAAACCATTATTCCTTGTCCTATCACAATGGGCCCTGCTAAAAAGTCTGTCCCCATCTTTCTTATGGGCCTCCCTTAGGTACTGGAAGGTACTCCAGCGTCTCCCTGGAGCCTTCCCCAGTTAATCACCCAAACTCTTTCAGCCTGCCTTCACAGGAGAGGTGCCCCAGCCCCCTGACAATCTTCATGTCCCTCCCCTGGACTCATTCTAACAGGTCCACATCCTCCTTATGCTGGAGACCCCAGAGCAATCAATCTAACAAATAAGTTGGTGAGAAAAACACCAAACAAAAGTTCCCATACATACCTGCAACTCCAGATAAAACTGGACTTGAAGAAGTCCAGCCTCTCCCATGATCTCATTAAACAGGAAATAAAATGGGAAGTCCCTTGCCACAGCAGGAGTTGCTGGCATGCTTCTACTGCTGCCCAGAAGCGCTTGCCATGGATTCTGAGATAACAGCTGAGGAATGGGCACTACCATCACCCCAGGGACTTCCTCCAGTGATTGCTCCTGCAAAGTCCACACTCGTGGAGGATTGCATTGATTTTCTATTAGAAGAGTTCAACCTCATTTATTTCCTCTGGAACGAGTATAAAGCAGCCACTTTTAAGGTCAACAGGAAAGGAAAACACTTTCTATACCATTCTGTAGTTAGAAAGTCCACTGAAATCTGCTTAAGGCTGACCACTTTTTTCCTTGTGAGTTCTCTTTCACTTGTACTTGCTTACACAGCTTTTCTTTTGAGCCCATCTGGCTTGAGGAAGGACACAAAACGGGACTCTTACCTTTCATCATCAGTTATCTTAAACCTAGAAATGAATGTGTAGGCACCACCAATGCTCGTCCAAGGACAGCTTGTTATCAAGACTTACAGAAATTAAAGCAATGTAAGTAATTTGGATAGAGTAGGGTACAGTCATTTCACACGTTAAAAAGAACAAATTATTTGCATACAGGGACAGTACATCCTATTGCAACTGCACTCAGCCTATGTTGTTGAGAGAAAAAGTGTAAATATGCAAGCTGAATGTCCTCCAAATACCTACAGAGAAGATCAGGATTTTTAACTATCAAACCATTTCAGTCAATCTCATGATTTTGTGATTTCTTGTGCATGGTGGGTGTTTTAGAAGCCGTAAAAACCATTGTCCTTTGAGAAAACAAGTGGGATTCATTGACTAAACTCATCTAAGGTGTTGTAGGATATCTGAGACACTTGCATGGGGCTGGCAGACTTAAGTTAACATACTCACCCAGACCTGTGCTGCTCCATGGCAGCAGCTTTAGGCCAAGTGAATACTCTGCAGTGTCTCATTTGAGACTCCACAGCTGCAGAGAGAAAGCTGGATCCCACTACAGCAGTTTTTCCAAGTGTGAAAATGTTGCAGTCCTGAGCTCTGCTGTCAGCTACCAACTTTAGCATCTCTGGATGTGCTCCACTGGCATTCAGTACAGCAGCTACAATCATAAAACAAGGAAGTAAAAGCACTTCCTCTTCCAAGCCCTGCATGAAAAGGAGAGGCAGTCATGGCAAATGCAAACACAGCTCAGGTTTAGCATAGGCAGCACCTGCATGACCATCCCTGGGAGGCTGTTCCTGCAAGGTGAACCTCACACCACCATGGTCAGCCTCGCCACCTCCACATCCTGGCATCTCTGGTCTGGTGGCCCTCTGAGGAACCACACAGGCCACACCTTGACTGTTTTGTGACAATTAAGACTAAGGAAGACACTCACTGGAATTTGTTTTCTTTAGAAGTAGTATTCAAATCCAGTCCTTTGAGGATGAGAGGTGCAGGCCGTCTTTCCTGTAGTGATTTTCCTAAATCATAAAGCCAGGTGTCTTCCTCACATTGCAAGAAGCCTTGATGGAAGTAATGCAACTGCAACCCAGCACTGAATAAGCAGCTCACACCAACACCTTCCTTTCACATTTCATAGTGTTGCATTTTTCCCCTGTTACAGCAGAAGGTATTTTCATGTAATTAAACATGTAATTTATTTTCTACAATTTCTGTGGTTTCTATAATTACAGAATTAGAAGAATAACAATTTTGAACACATTTCCATAATTTATCCATTCACAGATAATCAAACTATCTATTCCATACCTATATGCTTGAATACATTACATACAAGTAATAATGCAACAGCTGAGGTGATTTTGCTCTCACACGCATTCACTCCAGCAATAAAAATCATCTTGACCCATGTAAAAAAGCCTCCAGAACTGCCAATTATATGACATTAAAAAGGCAAGCTACTGGACAAAAGGCTTGGCCAGAGAACTGATTGCAGGCATAAAGAGCATGGTATGTTCAGATGATTGTACAATCAGATGCCAAAGAAGGTGTTCAGCAATTCCAGGCGAGGTGTTTTTTTTGGTCCCATGAATTAATGCAATAAATGTCAGTAGCAGGGATTCAATGCCTGCACTGCTGATCAGCCTTGCTCACAAGTCCTTTTATCTATTGTTACCCACAGTACAGAAATGTAGAGTTCTTCCTGGGCTCTCTTCTGGAGTGGAACAACTCTGAAAGAAAACCCAGCTGCTGTTTTAGTAACTTGCTTGAGAGTCACTCCCAAAGTGCAGCCTGAACACAGTTCAACCAGTTTTGGCTTCCTTTGCTGTATACAAACATGCAAAACTATCCCAGCAGGCTCTTGACCCCTCAAATGTCCCATCCCCTTTTGTTTCATGCTTTTAATTCCAGTGGACAGCAAAAACACCCCAGTGCTCAGATTACTTCAGACTTTTGAACTGACAACCAAGCAAAACATAGAGTCTAAGTCTTATGGCCATGGCTACCCCATGTGGGGTCCAGGGAGGTGCATGGCCAAGGGTGGTGCGTGTGCACTGGGCAGTCTGCTGATGGCTGATGTTGGGCACCAGCACACTGCTGCAGCCCTTGGCCTGACATGAGGGCCAAAGCAGTGGCCACAGACTGTCCACAAGGATGTGCATGGCAGGGGGGAAAAAAGAGAAGTTTCTAAAGGCCCTTCTCTAGAAGTTACTTGTTTCATTTTGGAAATTCTGATGTTATCTGAAGGGGGTACACTCTGCACGTGGACATGTACAGACACTGTGGGTTTGCTGTGGCCCCTGAAAGCTCATAGCTTCCATGAGCACTTCTCCAATGCCAAGAAAGTGTCAAAGCTGACAAGAAACAAAGCAGCTTTTAGACAAGAAAAGTGGCATGTCCTGACCCTTCTTGGAAGCTGACAACTGTCCAGGGTGGGGTTTAACATAAGAAACTGTCAACAGACAGGCTTCCTGCTCCTGAGTCATTAGGAGTTGAATTTTAATCTTTTGCTGCTTCTGCTCTACAATGCCCTTGCAGCCCTGTAATGCTCCAGTCCTTCCCTGTCCCTGCAAGTCATCCTGTTTCTCCTCTCCATCCCACATACTTGTTCTCAGCAGGCTTCTGGCTTAGTACATCTCTGATACATCCAAATAGACTGATTGACCTGGTGGTTTTCCACATCACTTGTGACTTTGGGCTCCTTTCAAACCAGCCCAGTGCTAATGAAGCGTAGACAACTTCATGACACAAACTCTTCTTGATTCTGAAAGAATTGTATTTCCATTCTTTAAAAGCATTTTTAAAAAAATAAATTAGAGAAGGCAGTGTGAAGAAACCACAGAGCTGCCAGCCAGAGGTTTTAATCCCTCCTCTGTCACTAGCTTGCCATTCAATCTCTGCCCTTGGGCACACAACTCCTCTGTGATACTTCTCTCTCCAGAGGAACTAGCAGGGATTATTTGTTGGTGTAACAGCAAAGGATGTGCCACCACAAATTGCCACAATGGTCAGGCAATTGCGAGCCACACCCTGGGATAACCAGTGCCTGCCTGCACCCTGGCATGCGCGGGTGGGCGGGAAGGGCTGGGGATGGCTGTTGGAGGCTGGAGCCGTGTGGTGTGGCATCCTCGGCAGGAGAAGGGCATGGTCTTCTTCACACAGCATCTGCATGTCCTGCACTTAAGGATTTGTTACCTGAACAAGCAATTCAGGAAAAAAATTAAAAAATATATACTTCTTAAAAGATTCCTCCGCTTTCTTTAGGAGATTTTTTGTTACCACAGGCCCCTCTTCCCAGAGCACGCCACAAAGAAAGGATCACCCTGACTCCGCTCTCATTTTAAAATGCTTCTTTTTATTTCAGTGGTTGTACATTGGGTGAATGAATTTAACGTCACAACAGAAATAGAATGGCTATTTAACAGACCACTAGTAATTATATATGCTGGAAAGGGGTGAATGGAGGGGTTTCTTTTAACTGTTACCGAAATATTCATTGTACGTGTCGTCAATTATGCTGGATGAGAGAGGCAAACGAAAAGATATTTTGGTGAGGTGCTGTATCCTTTGAAGAAAATAAGCACTGAGACATGTCAAGTAGCTTGAAACCATGTCCCAGCTACAGTATTCACTGTCTCCATGTTGGCCCATCTCATGGTTCTTTTAGGGGGTTATATTTCTTGTTGTATTTTTTTTTAATTAAACAAAGCATTTAAAATTTAATCATTTTCATTAGACTTTTTTTTTAAAATATAAACAAAGTTTTGGCAAATAATATTTATACAGAAAAATAGTTTTAGATCTTCCCAAATTTTGAAATAGTCTATAAAATTACTTTATAAATAAATAAAATGCAGAATCTGTTGTACACGTATTTGCACATCTCTGTAATTGCCTCCTTACTGTTAGCATAGGTTTGTACTTGTACAGTTTTCAGGAATATTACAAAGTCATAAAGTCGGAAAGTGGATCTCTTATTAAAAATACATTTTCTTTTTTTGTCTGTCAGTTTATCTGGATGAAAGACCTGATGTATCTGAAGCTTCGTCATCCATGGGCAAAAAATAGTAATATTGGATTAATTGTAAAAAACATAGAATAACAGTAATTTTGAAACATAAAAAGTTCACACAAAACGATGTCTTGAAGTTATCTACATAAAATATTTAAACATGGATAATTTACCATTTAGTATTATACAATAAGCTACCCAAATGCCTAAATTAACTATTATAAAAAAATAAAAACAACTTTGACAGATATAGGCAAGTTGCAGTGTCAACTACCTAGTTATAATGACTGAGAAAGTCTACAAATATTAGTGTTTTAATAGTATATAATGGTAATACCTTAACTGCTAAAGTAACAAGTTAAGATACGTTATTTTTCCACAAATTAAACTAATGCAACGTTACAAGCACTATGTTAATTTTACAACCGAATTGTGATTATTTTTTCTTCTTTCGGATGATCAAATCTCCAGCTTTATATATAAATAGATAGTAATTAGACATTGGACAAACAAGATTTAGCCTGGAAAATAAATTTCCTAGACAAATAATAATAATATGGTTAGTGCCTTCAGTCGTTCAGAACAGGCAGTGCTGCCGAAGTTTAAAATAGTTTACAATCAATCTGAAGAGGTTAAGTTAAAATACTGCAATCACTAGTAATGTCCACATAGAAAACTTATGCTGCAAACAATTATACATAATATCCACTTATAACAGCTGTCTTGTTTTTTTAAACAATAATTTAAAAACTATGTCATTTATGTGATACATGTGCAACATATAAAATGTGAAATATGAAATATTTGGTACAATAGTGCTTGAAACAAATCTCAAATCAAACAAATGAAATTTTAATTATACATATATAATTACCTTGTAAATCAACAAAGTATTTAAAAAAGTAAACAACATTAAAATCTGCTTCATCCATATATATGTATGTATGTATATATAACATGTATATAATTGTATTAAAGATATCTTCATACTTTTGTGACATAAAATATGTTTTTAAAGGAAAACAATTAAAAGAACTATTTTTTCTCCACTCTAATCTGGTTACAATCTTATAATCCAATTAAAAAAATGCAAATACAGTAATGATTTATTAAACTGAATCTCATTCTACATTCTTAGTGTTCAGTTAATAGCCTAGATTAAAGTCACCTATGAAGCTTTGGTGACTCAACTGAATTTTAATTAAATTAGAGTATCATACAATCTCTTCATCTACAGCCTTCTTTTTTGCCTTTTCTTTTGTTAGTTTGGTCTTGTTTTGTTTCGTTTTGTTTGATTTTACACTTCCAGAAATTACTTCTTAACAGCTTGGATCTTTTTGGTAACCTGACTATGAGTTTCAAAGATTATTCACGTCCGGTGAGATTTGACTGTTGGCATCAGGCTCACTTTCATCAAGTCTGATGTGACAAAATTTAGGCACTTCTGCAAAGTCTATTTTAAAAACATTATAAATATACTCGTAAAATAATGTTCTCAAGACTTTGTTCTTTTGGGGATTGAAAGGGGTATGAAGTTCATACTGTGCAAAATTTTTAAAATTTTCTTCTGCTATTCTGCTATGATTCAAATGCAACTTCTCCATACAAGTCAAACACCAACCATGTGCATCTAAAGACTTTGTGCTTTACTTTGGACTTCTGGCTAAAAAGATCAGATTGGCAGGATGATGTGCAGGACACCGGGCTGCGTTTTACTTCCTCTGTCTTGGAATCAACTCACCAAGGGAGCAAAACCAAGATTTTTTTTTTTTTTTTAAACTGAGAAGAAAACCCCGAATCATAGTTTGGGTGAAAATTAAACCTGCAACTGGGGAATGTTTTTAGCCAATGCAACTCAATTATTGCTGAGCTCGAAAGATTCATAAACATATATTTTAGGTTGGAGTATAGTAAGCATACCATATTTAATATTCATATATGACATAGCAGCACTAGCTTTTTTGAGTTTTTTGATTTGTCCATAAGAACAAATTCTTGACTTAGCATGCAGTTTGTGGCAACTCTAGAGAGGAGGAGACGGGGTAGTATGTACAGTAGCCGTGCTTGGCCGTCCGCAGGGAGGCTTCGTGACACTCCGTTCCACTCCTGCCAGCTATTTCAGGATTATCTGTTGAGAGAAAGGGAAAGCGTGATCGCGCTTTTAGGTGATGTGGGGACAGCAGCGCGCCCAGATGGCCGGCGCTGGCCTGAGCTCAGGCACAGCTCACACGGGACAGTGTCCTGTGTGGGACAGCGTCCCAGGTGGGACAGCATTCCATGTGGGACAGCATCCCATGTGAGACAGCATCCCGTGTGGGACAGCGTCCCATGTCCTCAGGCTGCCTTGGAGGCATTTGTGTCTCACGCACCTGGTTGTCTTCCCCTGCACACAGGTCCTCACGTGCACGAGAATGCACAGAGGGGGTACTTTATGTGTCAAAAGACTGGAGGGCAGTGCTGAATCCAGGCCTGGCCATAGACAGGGTGTGCACCCTCAGCGTCCTGCCTATCAGTGGAGGTGGAAGCCCTGCACCTCCTGGAGGAGCTCAAAGTGCATCCATGCCTGGGGCCATTCTTCAGCCCCCACCCTGATCCCAGCAAGTCAAGAATGACCAGGGGAAACAGTGGAGGCAGTGCTCCTTGCTACTAACAAGCAAAAAGATGTACTGGGCTAGGTGTTTTCACAAAGCAAAAGTGTCTTTTCAATGCACTCTTAGCAGCTGCTTATTCCCTAAAAAAATTAACTGCAGATCAGTGAACTTGAGAGGTTTTCTCACGCTTCCTTATGGCAAGGATTCCAGGGGGATTACTATAGTGGTACCTCTGTGCACCTAACTAGTCACTAACCTTGCTGCTTTACCTTCATGGTGTCTCAAATGGAGGGTGAAGCAATCATTTCACAGGTGCAAACTCTCGTGCTTCCAATATTGTGAAGGTTAAATGCACAATGTGCTCGGCAACTGACTCCACCTGCTCACAGTATTGGAAAATGGTTCAGATTTCCATCACCTGCCTGAAATGGTTGTCAGTGAAAGTGATATCAAAAGGCAGGGGTGTGATATTTTATCACGCCATTGCTATCCTGTGCTCCAGATTTAAGCACAAGTCAAGGAATTGAGAGTGTATTGCCTGCTCTTCCTGTTTCATTTGGCACTTGGCGTATTTTTAAGCTGTATTTGCAGGTGGTATGCAAGGCAGTCATGACAGCATTTGGACCTACTTGTGTATTATGAAGCTAGACCACTGCTTAATGCAATATTTATATTAAAAGGGGGGGGAAATGGTGTTTGGAAAGTAACTTCAGCAACATACTACCTCTGACATACATACCACCAAAAAGAAACATGCTTGGCTCTGTGTGGCAGGCGCTCATCCCAGTCTCCTGCCCATCACCCCCACTGCCCCTCACAGCTGCACTGCCTCGCTCTCTGTACACAAGCACCATCTCCCTGACCCCAAAGACCTTGCCAGCAAGCCAAAAAGCCATCTTTGATTGCCATCAGCTCTGGAAATCTGCTGACATGTGAGGCCCCATTGTAATGACACTGTACAAACACCTGCTGCTCCAAAGGACTTAACATCTAAATACATCATGCACACAACAAGGACATATATTTTTAATGAACTTCCACGCATTGTGAGTTTGTTAGCTTATCGCCTATCTTCTGTTTCCTTTTGAAATAACAAAGAAATACCTTTGCTCAAATAATAAAGTCCTGTCTGTGATAACCCTGGTGCAGCTCCAGCACAGTGATTTGACAATATGTATAAAGAACACAGCTGTGCTGAAAATAAAAAATGACCAAGATTTTCAGCACTGGTATTTTTAGCATGTTACAACCCAACATGTCAATGTAATTAATAAAACAGCTTTAGCTATACTGGGTTAGCTATAATCACACAAGTGTATTTAAAGGATCCTAAGGTCTCACTTAATGGGACATAACCTGAAACTTTCTCAGTAAGTTTTTTACTCAGTAAAATCCCAGAATTCCAGACACTGCAGCTGACTACATCATCTGCCAACTTTTGAGGGGATAAGCTTGCATTTTCCTATAGCTTTTTCCCCTCACAGTACAGGGAGACAGGTAACTGCCCCATGTGCCAAGGTTACTTTGGTCAAACAGTCCCATAAGACCAGTGTTCACAATTCCCCTAAAATGTGTGACAGAGAAGGCAGAGGGCCTAATCTCAGGCTGTTTCTTGGGAAAATGGTAAGACTATTCCTGGCATTGTGATTAATCCAAGTGCTACTCATCCTGCTGTGTGCCAGGCAGGACAGAGGGTTCCTGGGAAATGTGAAAGAGCAGGGACCCCTTCTCTTCCCTGCCCTGGTGAGTGACAAAGCCCAAAGTAATAACTTCACTGCCATGTCCCTATTCCTGCCTTTTCTCTCCTCCTGTCAAAACTCAGGAAAACAGCGAAGACAATGTAAACACTTTCCTTTTCTGTGCAAGCATGTCCTGTTTATGGGTTGCAGGTGCCAGAGGAGCAGCTGGAGCTCTTGCTGCCATGGCTCTCCCGCTGCCAGTGGCTGTGGAGCTGCCTTGCTCCCACCACATCATCCTCGATGTGCCGCCCCTTGTACAAGGGCCGTAACTAGGGCACGTTGCACCCGGCTATTTCTAGTACACGTAGGAGTTCTCCTAGGAAAAAGCCCTCAAGTCTCTCCTTCAGAACAAGTTTCTCCAGTGCAGAGTTGCAGAACTGAGGAGCTACATTTATTTTTTTAACCTTTGCCACAAAGTGCAAAATGTCTCCCATAGTCTTATATTACATGTTCACACCATATTTCTCAAAAGATATCACAACTCTGCCATAGCTACATACACAGGCATCAGCTTCTGCCACTGTTTTTTTCTTTCACTCTGTCTGACAGAGGAACATAAAATGCTAAACTACTTTACATGGAAAACACACTGTGAACCTGTCCTGTTTAATCTACAAATGAAGTAATAAACTGTGATGGAAGGTGGAGGTTATCTAAGTCTGCATCACTGCTAATTGCTCCATCACTAGCATGCTGAAAAATGAGCTGTACTAGAGAAGGAACATCACTGCAAGCACTTTCTACAGAGTCTGCACTCCTTCATTACTTGCAATTTGGTCCAGCCACCTTCATGTTCACTAGTCTTTGAAGAATTCCATCTCAAATGCACATATATATGACTTGTATTTGCTCCTATACTATTATAATATACTTCACAGCAACAGGATGTAATGTCATGATGCTTCTACCTGGAAAACAAGACTATATAAAGAGTGTGCATTGCCCCATGTACAAAGGTCTACAGGTCAAGCATGGGAAAGCATTTTCTCATGCTCTGTATGGATAAGATCCACAGGTGTGGATATGGACATGCCAGAAAGCACACCTGCTGCTGCTGCAGTAAAAGATCTAATAAGACTGTTTCCAGCATAAGCAGAATGGCCTGGCACTTAGAGTCTTGAGTAGTACCTCACAGAAGATTTAATAACAGAAAAGGGCATTTTTTAGAGGTAATCACAATAAAGGTACCCTCTTCATCATCTTCTTGCTTGGTACCTGTTTGAAGTGGCAGAAAGCTGTCTACCCTTTAGATTAAAATCTTTCATACTGTGCCAATGGTAGTTCAGACCTCACTGAAACTAGTAACACAAAGACTGAACCTAAATTTCTGCAAACTGCTTTCTAAATTCACTCCTCAAAATTTTCCAGCTCTTTAGAGGTGACATTCTCAGCTCCTAAGTATCAAGATTTTCCTTCCTACCAGAGTATGGCTCTTTTAGACCTTTACCTTCAGGATTTTGAGTGATCATAGTAGTCATTAAGCCCCTCATGCAACACAGAACATCCTGAAATTCAGGGCTGCTGGTAAGGGTGATACAGTTCTGCTGTGTCATCCAGGGGAATAACAACCAAGAGAGATGTTACTGCCAATGGTTTCAGCTTTTCACCAACTACCAGTGCAGATGAATTGATTTGGGAGTTCCTCAGACCCAGCAAAGGTGGCTGTGATCAGCCATTGTCTCAAGACTTAAAAAGTAAAATTTCAAGTCTTTTAAATTAAAGTAAAAATTCCATTTTTGTGATCTCTCTTCTGACACCCAGGTTACTGCTTTACTTGATACAGTTCATGGAATTGACCAAATTACAGAGAATCTTGAATAGGTTCTAGGAATTACAAGAACACTGTTTGACATGAGATTTTCTGTTTTGAAGCTACAATTCACAGAGCTTCTTTGCAGTCTCTGACTTAAATTCATTTTCCAGTAACAGATTTATTATACAATGATGAATACAGAAAATTTACCATTCTGTATATGAATTCAGTGTACATGAACTCTTGTTCAACTAAAGATCTGTCACAGTGGATCAGCTGGAAAACATGACTTTGCATCTACCACTGTCATGTTTCTTTTTCAGAAGTTTTTAAAGTATTACTCAAAAATACAGAGTGCTTTATAAGCCCTAATATATTTTAAGAAGATGTTAAGATTGTATTTGATCTTTACATTGCAAAGCACTTACCCCTCCAAAAATTAACTCATACATAGCAAACATTCTGGTCTGCTCAGCCTTCCATTTTGAAAGCAATGTAGTAATAGGAGTTTCTTGCAAACAAGATTTATCTCAGAGCATTTCAGACATGAATGCCTCAGCTGGTCACCCATTTTACATCTTCCTAGGCTACCTCAGGAAACTAATTTTAGCGTGAGACAGATTATCAGCCCATGATGCTTTTTTGCCCTCCACCAAATTAAAGAGTCTATGGTGAAAAGTTTGCACCAAGACATTTAACTTTTGTATACCTGTGTCAGGATAGATGAACCCTTCCACAGTGACATTTTTCTGTTTTCATGTTTTTAACACGAGTAGCAGACTGGTCAGATATATCTGGGGTATACATTAAAAATGACAGATATTTTCAGACAGCCAGTTCATATCAGGCTGTCTCATAACTTCTCTCTCTTTCTAAAAATAAAAGTAACACCAAGTATTTCTTCCTTATGACAAGGAACCCAAGACTATTTATATTTCCCCATGCCTTTGGGAAATGCCTCCATGTCTTTATTTTTCATTTTCTCCTAGAATGTTTTCTTGTAGTATGTCACTTGCTCCTTTTCTTCAAAATAAACAACTTTGTT